CCTCTGAGGGACCACGTGTTGCCCACATCAGTGTCACAGAGCCTGTTCACTAAACCCCCTCGGCCCATCAGGCCTTATCTGTGCTTTCCTTCCAGTAATTCTTTCAACCTCCGTCTCCCAGTGGCTCACCCAGGGCTCCCAACACAGCTGCTGGAAGGACAAGGGCTCTTCGACACAGCTGTCGTGAGAGCAGTCGAAAGTGACAGTCCACAGTGAGAAAAGAAACACTATGAAAAGTAGACAAAGTAACTTATGAAAGCACAGAAATGAGCGGAAGAAGACGCCACGTTTCAATAACCAGTGAGCAGACAGTGTAGTAACTGGCTTCGTGGTGGTGACACTGTATGAAGGTAAAGGTGTCCCCTCTGCGTAGGGGGACAGCAGAAAGTTTAATTTCCTATGAAAGAATTTTGGGAAATATTACTTTCAAATAAATAATTAAATCCCCTATGTGTTAGTGCTTAAAGGAGTAAGATTATTTTTAATTCGTATGTATTCTGTGTCCTTTAGGGATGTTGGATAAAGGATACTTTCTGTGCATGTGCAGACGCATCCCCTGTCAGTTATGTTGGCCTGAATTTTCACATTTGACAAAAGACTTCTTTCATCAGTTGCTTTCTAAGAGCAAGGACTCAGGAGTGTGATCCACATTTGTTTTCCACATCATGATCTCAATTACGCAGCACATTGACCTTGTTTTGAATCCGGTTTTTTTTCCTACCTACCAGCTCTGTGACTTGGGTAAATTATTACCTTATGTGGACTTTCCTTTCCTTACTAATAAAGTAGGGTGGCCGTGAGATTCGTATGCAATCCGGTGGCACCCCGGCTAGCGAGATCCCATCGTGCACTTCTCTTCCCAACGCGATGTCCTGTGACATGCTGGCAGCTTGACATCAGCCATGGTTGGGAGTGTTTATACTGCAGAAATTGGCAAATCAAACGAGTCAGGGCCTTTTTTCCCAGAGAGCCCTTTGGGCCTTCAGCCACTGTCCACTCCTGCACGCCTGCCCCTCCCTGTCCCCGTGTTTGTGGTCAGAGCCGCTCTTCGCGCTGCTCTAATCCAGGCTGCATCAGAACCCCTGGAACTCGTGCTGTGGGCCTCTGCACGTGGGGTGTCGGGTGCAGTCAGCCTGGGCCTGGGAATTTGCATTTCTGGTGCTGACGTTGCTGGTCCAGGAACCAAAACCTTGAGACTCAGGTCTAGTCTAATAACGTCTGCAGTGCCAAGTGTGGGGCACGGAAGCGATCCCACCTTCTGTCTCAGATGATGGCATGACAAATTCCGTGAATGCTTGCCTGGTTCTCTGCACCTATACCATCTGACTTAATCTCCTTAAGAACCTTATGAGGGAATCATGGCTATTTTAATCCCCATTTTGTAGATGGGGAAACTGAGGCTCAGAGGGATTGTGACTCAGGGTCACACAGCTCATAAACAGAGAAGCAAGTAAAACTCAGGTCTTCCAGCTGTGGGGTGACTGTGTCTGTGATGCGGACCGTGATGCTCACTGGCAAGTGGAGCATCCACATGCCCGGCTGTGCGCCCGCAGGGCCACATCAGCCCAGGGGGAGCCTTTACCTGCATTAAGGTGCTGTGTAGGCTAGCAGTGGTGGTGTCCACATGCACGCCCTCTCCTCCTTTCACTGCAGCCCCTGGGGTCTCGAAACTGGTGGAAAGGCAGAGCCCATGGGAGAGACAGGAAGTGCCAAGAGAGGGCCCCAGAAGGACATTATTTGAAGCATAATCAAGCCTGCACATGTGGGCATGTGGAAAAGGCTTACAAAACAGCTGTTCCTGCAGGAGGTTTGGGGGCAGGTGTCAGCGGGGTGGAGCAAGGGAATTTGGCTGCAGGCAGAGCCGCAGATTGTCAGTGATGAGAGCTATGTATCCTGCCTGCCCCTGGCATGTGTGTGGCCTGGAAGGTGCCCGCTGGGTGGGGCAATCAGCCTGGATCCCAGGGCACCTGGCTCTGTCTCTCGCTCTCCCTCCCACTGCCTTTCTGCAATTAGATTGCACTGAGTAATAGCTGCCAAGCTGCTTTGTTGGATCTGATGAGTTTATTAATTTCTTGGGGCTAATGGGATGGTGGGTGGGAGAATCATTTCCTGACTAGAGCCTGGGGACTAATTAGTCTCCTTGCCATGTCTCCAGAGGTGGGAGGTGGGTGGGGGACATTGCTCAGGCTGTTGGATCTGGCTCTGGGTAAATCATTTCTATCCTCGGCTTTTGTGGGAACGTGTCTTGTGGTTTGGGTCAGCCAGGGAGTCTGGGGCTGAGGCAGGCGATTAGTGAGGATTGGGTCCCTCGAGAACAGGGTGGGAAATTTGGGGGGAAGGAATGAGGTCTTGCTGGCCCTGTCAGTGTGAAGTGCGTGTTTAGGGGGGCAGGACTCTAAGAAGTCCAGTCCTGTCCCAAATATCCAGATGCTAACATCTGGCCCAATTGTTCTTTACGTCCTCTGTCCAAAACCAGCCCTTCCCATCCTTGGAGACCACCAGGAGCCAGTTCTAGCCGCTTCAGAGACAGGGAAATAGCCTCATTTCACCTGGCTTTGTGGATGTGAGGGTTCAGGAGTAAAGAGCTGTGTGCGGGATTCTTGCTGGGGGGCTGAGGTCCCTTGCAGCCTTTCTCTGGTTGGGCCAGGCCTGCTTATGTGGAGGGCATGGCCATCCGCCCTTCAAGGGATAGCAGCAGAGACGGGAAAGATCTTGGATTCAGGAGTCAGACAGCTCTGGGTTCCAGCCTGTGTACCACCTTGGGCAAGCCGTTGAACCTCTGAGCCTCAGTTTCCTCATGAGTAATGTAAAAACGCCATCACTGCTCCCCAGGGGTGGTGGGAGAAGTCAGAGATGATGGAACACATCTCCACACCGGGTGTCCCGTGCCTCTTGTTGCCCTTTCAGTTCCCCTAGCAGCTCGCCCCTCATGCTCCCCACCCCTCTTCCCTGCAGAGAGAGGGGAGGAGGGGAAGCTCAGGCAATACCTTGACCTGGCTAGTCCCTCTGAGAGACAGCAGGCACTCCCAGAGCCCGAGGAGGCTCCCCTGCCTCCTGCCCACGTCTCACCCACAGCAGCAGTCAGCTGATAGGAGATGATGGCTTCCCCTGCCTCCGGGTACCGGCCCCTCATGCTCAGGTGTGAGCATGAGTAGGTCAGCCCCTCGCAGGCTGGTGGGGGAGACAGATAAGTAAACACAACGTGCAGTAGGACACTGGAGAGCCAGGCAGGATGGCCACAGAGGCTTCCTTAAGAAGACTCAACCGGGGCTCAGGGCACAGGGGTTAGAGCTCCAGGCGTCTCAGCTGATGGGAGGTGGCCTCAGACAAGCTGAGTGAGCTCTTTAATCTTGGTGTCTGTCCCTCTGTCTGTCACATGGGGCTTCCCAGGTGGCTATGCAGGAGACACTGCTTGTAAATGAAAATGAACGGGAGTGTGTACATCATTCTTCTGCTGTCCCAGAAGTGGAGAAAGCTGCCCAGCCCCCTCCAGGTGGCGTGCTCGCTGAGGCTCAGAGAGGAGGTTTTGATTATCTCCCTGCTGGCAGATGAAAGGCTCACTTTCAGAGACGATCAAGCTCTTGCCTGGAGCTGGAGGGGTCCAGCTTGGCCCCCTCCCCCTCAAACTCTGGACCATGACGTCGGGGAGATGGTTACTGCTCCCCAGGACTCTCAATCCTCTGGCCCTGGGGTGGGGATGTGGGGGCCAGAGGTGAGACATGGCTCCATTGTGGTTGGACCTTCCACAAAAAGAGCCCAGAGCCCAGCCCTGGTGGGTAGAGCCACATGGCATCCTGGGAACTTGTGAGGGTTTTCCAGGGAAGCTGCTGCTGGTGCCCGGAGATGCCTGGCAGAGGCGGGTGTGTGCATTTCATTGAGTTTCCAGCCAGCTGTCAGCCGTCTCTCCTGGCTGCCCACCTCCAACACTCAGCCCCAGAAAGATTTGCCAGGGGCTCCAGCTAACAGAAATATATTGGTATTGCACACACGTATGTGTAGTTATAAAAAGGGTTCCACTGGGAAAACAAACCATCTAAAAACCCGATGATGTTGAGTTTCGATTTAGGTGACTTTCTAGAATGGGGAACTGAGTAAGTTGTGGATTTTTTCCCCCTAGAAGATAAGATGATAGAACAGAGAAAGGAAAAGAGCATTTATTCTTGAGTCTCAGCTTAACTACATCCTCACAATGAAGTTTCTGTTATTCCCATTTTACAGATGAGGAAACATGTTCAGAGAGGTTCAGTAACCCTTCCGGGGTTATGCAGTCGAGATCCATGTGCCTGGGTCTAGCTGAATAATGTAACATCAAACTGGCACATCTGTGATGTCAGTTGGCTCTGAGAAGGAGGCAGGGCAAACACTGGGGAAAACAGCTGGGGAAACTGAGACTTGGAAAGATTCAAGTAATTGGCCTAAGTTCTCGCAGCCAGCAAGGGGACCCACCAGGACTAGGACCTGGGGCTTCCTTCCCCCTCTGTTCATCCACGCACTGAATCATTCGGCCAACTTTCGTCAAGGAGTCTCGTGTGTGCCGTTCTCTCTCGTAGCCGTTCTGACTCTTACGGAGACGGTGAGGGTGACCGAGGGCGGCCTGGAGCAGAAGGGCTGCGCGGCTCAGTCCTGCCTCAAGATGGCGCAGGTGCACGTGCTCCCGTCCCCTCCACGTGAGAGCACGTCCCCGGACTGCAGCCCGTTCCTGTTTTCTTTCTCCATTTCCCTCTTCCTCGTCTCTTAAGTCTTCCCGTCCCCTCAGGTCTCCCCACCCTTCCCTGACTGCCCACCCTGCCCTACGTCACAAGAACCCTGCCCAAGCCCAGCCGCTCTGCTCCACACACCGCATCATCCGTCCTTCTCTGGTTTCCATGCGGCCCAGCCGGATTCAGGGGACTGGCCTCTCGGCTGCCCCAAGCCTGGCGGCCTGCAGGACCTCAGCAGCCCAGCTCCCCAGCCGCCTCCTTCCCCCACCCCCTCCCAGACTCTCTCCTTGGTCTTCTCAGATTGGCCAGTGGCACGTGGCGGACGGCCTCAGCATGGACAGCCGCCTCTACGCCTCCAACATCTCCGACAGTCTCTTCAACACCACCCTGGTCGTCACCACCATCCTGGTAAGCAGGGGCCCCCCCAGGGCCTCCCAGCTGCCGCTCCCCAGGGTTCCCCCTCCATCCCTCAGCGCTCACAGCCTCCCAGTGAACAGAAGGTGGAGGGCTAATCACAACCCCGAGGCCAATTTATGACAGTGTAATTAAACTCAAGTTGCTATTTCATATGGAAATATCTGATGAGTTCCAAAGAGCTGGGGAAGAGGGGTGGGGTGGAGAAACCCCACAGCTGGTGGATGCCTCTTCCCGGGGCAGCTGTGCGTGGCCAAGGGAAGGGCACCTTATGACTCAGGTGGGAGAAGTCCACCGGGGTGGCCCCAGCTCTTCACAACAGCCTACTTTGCTGGTACCTTCATGTACAAATTCCTCCCTCTGCCCCCACCCCTGCCAGTGGACACCTGAATTTCGGTGGGTTTTCATGGCCAGATGATCAAAAGACTGTTCTCAATCTCTAGAGCAAGGGCCCATCTGCCTTTTTTATCTGATTCAATTCTCTTTGACAATTAGCAAGCCCTTCCGCCTGTGCGCCAGGCACTGGGGCTTCCTTCCTGCTCATCCCTGGAGTCACCAAGATGAGGAAGACTCAGTCTCTGTCCTCGAAGAGGCTGTAACTTAGCAGATGGCACGAGTCAAGTACATTCATGGCCAAGGTCTTCTTCCTCCCCACACCTGAAGATCTCATATTTTAAAAGATTTGTCAATTAAACCAACTACATCTATTAAGCAATAATATATAGTTTGCTGTAATTTGCTAAGGAATAGTTTGTCCCCCTCCCCCAACTTCCTTTTAACAGATCGAAACCATATTTGCCTGCCTGGCCCAGCATCTTATCAGCAGGAGATGACCAGAGTGGCCACGCTGATAGAATTCCAGCCCCAAACAGAGATTTGACTTTTCAGTTGGCCGGTTCAGCCTTATCATTGCTAACTGTGCAAGTCTAGAAATGTGACCGTTTCAGGCTTTCCAGATAATGAAAAGAGGTCAGGGACCACCATCACTACCCCCACGAACCCCCAGGGCCCAGGAGCCTGGGACCAGAATTACTGACCTACTGTAAGCCAAGGGGCACGAAAGCCAGGAAGGAGGCGCACGCGTAGCCCAGTGGGCATTGAAGGGAAGAACAGTCCCGTCCCATCCAGGAGGTCAGCGAAGCCTTCAGAGAAGAGGGACGTGGAGGATGGGCCACCAAAGACAGGGAGATATGGGGAGGCAGAGGTGAATGAGGGAGAGCGTCGTCAGGCACTCAGGAAGTGCCGAGGAGCGCTGGTTTCCGGGAAATGGGCATTGGTAGAGGGGAAAGACATGAAGCCAGGAGAGTGGCTTGGGTCCAAAGTGCACAGGAACTTGAATGCCAGGCTCGTCTATTTTCCCTTCATTTGCTTGGTATGAGACAGGGGGTCCCTGAATATGTTCTATCACTCCTTCAGTGGATATTGTGGGGAAGGGGGACCCTATTGTGTGCTGCGCACTGTTTTAAGTGTTCCGGAATAGGCAGATCTGGGGAAGGCGAGGGGGAGTGCCAGCCCCACTGAGAAGGGCAGATCTGAGCAGATGACAGCCAAGCGGCTGTCTGTGAAGGAACATTCCAGGCAGAGGGAGGAGTCTGAGCCAAGGATGGGGAGGGCGGCCCCACTCCCAGGGCGTTCGTCACTCCCCATCTCTGCTCCAGCCATCTCTCATCTGAACCAGTGTGAGCATGTCAGCAAGATTCAAAGGGGCTGGTGACGCCATACCAGCTGAGATCTAGGAGAGCCTGGCTGAGCTGGGGCCATGGTGAGCTGCAGTCCTGGCCGAGGGGACAGCACACAGCGTGACGACTGGACCCTTCCTCCCACTGTCCTCTCTGGCACTGAAAGCCATTCTGAGTCTGTCCCCTGCTGTCCATCTTTAAGCTCCTGGCCTAACTTGGGCCCAACCACCTCTTCACCAGAGCTGCGGTGTGGCCTCCTCGAAGGCCTCAAGGCCTCAAAGGGCCCCTCAAGGCTTCTCACTTGCTTGGTCTGTACCTCCCTATCCCCCTCTCTGGCAGCGCGGTCCTTCTGAAAGCAGAATGTCCTGTCATTTCCTTACCTACAGCCCTTCGGTGCTGCCCAGGGCCCACCCGCCCTGAACTTGGAAGATAAACCCCTAATCATCAGGCCTAGCCCGCTGTTCCTGCTTCCTCTCTGTGCATACTGGATGGCCCAGCACCTCCTCACCATCTCATGCTGTTCCCTGCCTCTGTACATGCTGTTCCCTGCCTCTGTACATGCTGTTCCCTCTGCACAGAATACCCTCTCCCCTAATTCCTGTTTCCAACTGGAAATACTTCTGCACCCTTCAGAGCTCTGCTCAGATGTCACCTGTTCCGTGAAGTCTTCCCTAGTTGCCTCCTGCCCTCTCTCTGTCTCTAGCATTTCGTACACTCCTCTGTTGTGACATTTCTCGTATGAGAGATTGTCATTTATAGCTCTACCTCCCCTTCCAGAGTGAGGGCTCCTGAAAGATCAGGGTGCCTAACACAAAGTAAGAGCTTGATTATTAGAATTTGAATGAAGGAATTCCTCATAAGCCAGCAAGAGTTTGAGAGAGGGAGATGGGGACATTGCTGGGGTGTACTTCCTGCCCTTCTGGGTCTGGAATTGGACCAGGCTCTGTGCTTTGACATCGACCCACAGTGATACTGAGACCACAGGGTTGTGTTCCTAGACTGGGAAATGTGTGTGTTCCTAGACTCTGACCCTATGTGTTATGTGTGCATGCACACATGTGCTCAAGAGGGTGGGGAAGGACACTTTTGTGTCTGGTGACGTTTAATAACACAGCAAGCACAGTTCAGACAAGAACCTTCTCTCGTGCATGTGTCTTAGATGGCTGGTACACGTCAGTAATTCTTACCAGGAATGATTACCTCAATTTAATCCTTGGTGACCATTTGTGGGATATATCCTTGGGAAATGGTAATCCTGTCTGATTTATCCCTTAAAACTCAGCACACATCCCTGTTGTTTCTGCTCCCGTCAGGGTACAGTTGGGACTTGGGAAGGATTTATTGGTGAATACCAGCAAATACACAGAATTAGCCCCCACACTTTCCAAGATGCCAGTGAGCCCCAACCTTTCCCACACGCTCCTCCCTCCAACACTGGCCTTGGGTTTATTTACTCTAAATAAGTTGGTGAATTTTAAATTAACCTGAGTAGAGAGTGCCTGGGGAGAAGGATTTTGTGACACTCCTTGGGATGATTAAAGATACCCTGGGACGTGGCCTTCCAGCCCAGACATGGAAACCCCCAGCCCAGCCCGGTCCGAGGGGCCAGTTCAGCACTTTTCACTCATACAATCCACAAGTGCTGAATGCAGGAGCCAGGCGGGGGCACCAGAGAAAGGGAGGAGTGGGTCCCGGGCCCCATGTACGTTCTACCTGGGAGCAGGCACAAGAGGAGGATGGAGGATGAGTGTTTGAGGCCCTGGAGTGAGTGCAGGAGGAGTTCTGAGAAATGGGTCAGCATTAGAGGAGGCAGTGGGACCCCGAGGACAGAGATGAGTTAGGTTAGGCAGAAGAAGGGCAGAGAGAAGCCCTTGAGTGGAAGACAGTGTGTAAGGAGAGCAGGAAGCCTGGTCCCATCGCACTGACACGACAGTGCACTTGATCGTGAACCAGAACCACATCACCTTCAACTCGGACCCCCCTCTTCCTGACGCCGAACCTCCGACCTTCCCCTCTTCCACTTCATCACTCCCACAAGACCGCTGTCCCTCTTCCTCCCTTCGTGACCTCAGGTCTGCTGGCTCTCCACCTTCGCCCACCCACAAGCCCCCTCCAGCCTGTGCTCAGCAAACCAGCATTTCAGCACTTCCTCTCTTAGCTTCTAGAATCGACGCCACCATGATGCTCAGCCGTCTCACCTCCTGCCGGTCCCCAAGTCCAGCTGTCTTGCAGCCCCTGCTCCCAGCTGTCCACCTGCATTCAGCCTCCTGACTCAGCCGACAGGCCCTGTGCTCACCTCTGCTCACTCCGCCCCCACCCCCGAGCAAGCCTTCCCACGCACCAAGCCTTCCCTCCTGCCTGCCCCCGACACAACTCGGGGGCTGGCTGGCATGGTTCCCCCACCTCTGGCCTCCTCACCTCCTCTCTATGCCCACATCCGTGCTCTCCACCGTAAATTTGCCCCAGGCCCCCTTCCCAGCCTCACGCTCACCTGGACCCTGCCTCTCCTGGGCCCTGGCTGTGCCGACTAGCACCTCCCCTTTGTCCTTCTCTCATCTCTCCCTTTCAAGGGATTCCTCCCTCCCTGTCCTCTATCTACACATATAGTCCAGTCCCTCCCATCCCAAGACACCACCGTCACCACCTTACCTGTTCCCTGCTGCCCTTGAGCTGCCCTTCAGTTTAGGGAATCATCCATCAAGGGATGGTGGACCCTGGGGGTCCTCCAGCCTTGTTCTTTGCAGATGGGGAGCTGAAGTTTGGAGACAGATGTGACCAGTAGCAGTGGGGTGGAGCAGCGACCTGCTTCCTTTGTCTGCTAACTTCTCAAAAATCCACACTCACTCGTGCACCTCTCGTTCACTGCCAGTCCCTGCAGGGCTGTCCCGCCCTCTCCCCCGCCCCCACCCCGAATCCGCCTTCGAAGGTCTCCGGTGACCTGTGACCCAGTCACGGGTTCCCAGCCCTGCTTCTCCCTGTGTGGGAAGCCTGCATTCCCCTGCAGGACACCCCTTCCTCCTTGACCATGTTTCCCTGATTTTCAGCTTTTCTGGCAGCTTCTGCTTTGTCTTCCTCTCCCCACTCTCGAAGACTGGTCTCATCCTTCTGCTGTGCTTCCTTAGTGCTTCCCCGTCGGGGGCCTCCCGTATCCTGCAGCGTCTGCGCCCACCTCCACACAGAGGCCGCCCGATCTCTGCCCCACCCAGCCTTGCCCTCGCTCCGCGTTTTCAACATTCAGTCGGATGTTCCCTCCTGGATTGCCCCCCAGCACCTCAAATTCAACATGTTCCAAAACCTCTCCCTTTCCAAGCCATCCATGGCCATGATGACACCATCTTCAGTCGTCCGCTCAGGCTCCGAGGGTCTGGTACCCTGCCTTCTGTGCCCACACCCAGCCTGGCATCAAGCCTGACCCTCTCCAGCTCTCTGCAATCCACCTGAGCCGGACTGCGGCCCAGGACTCTGCATCTCATACAAGGAGAGGGTCTGTCCTCACTCCCAGACCTTGTCTATCTTACCACTTAATAGTCTTCACTCACATCCTTAAGTCTTTAAAACCTTCAGTGCTCCCCTCCTGTGTAGGTATCATGTACAGTTACGTCGTCCTGGCATCCAAGGCCCATGCAGACCCGAAGTCATCTTTCTACATGTGTCCTCGCACCCCTCCGCACAACCCAGACTCCTACTCAAGGGCAATCCATTAGCCACTGGACGGGCCGTGTTCCTTCTCACTGAGGACTCTGCCCTTGACCCTGCCTGTGATGCCCTCCATTCACATGACTTCCACCTGTCAGTGCTCCGTCATCCTCCGGAACCCAGCTTCGGTCCCGCCTCCCCCAGTGGAACCTTCCCTGGACATTTCACTGGAGACCCATCCCTCCTCCCAACACTCATGGCTGGACTTGTTCTGCTTTGCGATGCATTGTTCAGTCCCTGTGAGAACCTAGCCTGCTCTGTTGTCAGCATCCTTGTATCTCGTAATGCCCAGCAATAGGTCTGTGTGGAATGAACAAAAGGAAGAGAAAAATAAGGAAGGAATAAAATGGGGGCTGGGGTCAAATGATGACCTTAAACAAGATAGAGCGGCTGTAACTGGACCTGCTGTGTGGTGGGACCGTTGTGGATTTCTGGTAAGAGAAGGGGAGGGGAGCTAATTGCCGCCTACAAAGCAGCCCATTCACCAGGCCACTTCCCTCCCCCTGTGTCCCCGGCCCCCTCATCATGCGTGGCTGAGACATCAGGGCTAAGATGAGAATGACAGCTGCCCAGTTTTGCTGCAGGAAAACCCGTATTTAATGCTGAAGGGGAACCACCAGGAGATGGAAGGCAATGACCGCTACGAAGGCTTCTGTGTGGACATGCTCAAGGAGCTGGCGGAGATCCTCCGGTTCAACTACAAGATCCGCCTGGTTGGGGACGGTGTGTACGGCGTGCCCGAGGCCAACGGCACCTGGACGGGAATGGTCGGGGAGCTGATCGCTCGGGTAAGGAAAGCGCAGGTGATTTGGATTTGGGGTTGGGCTGGGGAGGGAGACGGAGGGACATAGGGCTGGGCTGTATGCTCATGAACCTGCCGTGTATTCGGTTAAACATTCACGCATTTTCCATTTATTTGTTTATTCGTTGCACAAATCTCTCTGGAGCTGGCACTGAGCCAGGCACTGGAGGTATATATTGGTGAATACAACCAGCATGACCCCTGCCCTGTGGCTCTCCCAGTCCCAGTCCAGCGCTTGTAACAGGTAATGGAGGCTTGGACCAATGAGCGCGGCTTAGAGAGTCTGGCTTGCATCCTTGGCACCTCTGTAATCCAGGTGCTACTGGTTTGTTCTGATTTCGTTGGTCATCAGAACCCCTGGCAGAGCTTGGACAGGCTCTGGGAGAGTAGAACGTGCCCATGTCAGTTGACTTTGACCCTTGAGAGGTGCCGTCAAGGTGACATGGTTAAATCACGGGGGAAGAGAGATCAGCTGTCAGAGGTGTTGGTCACAGTCACGGTGATTTTGTTACTTCTTGTGTTATTTTCTGCTATTGTTAATGTGCTTTTCCAGACCCGGGGCCAAGGTGCACTTTGGCAGGCTGTAGATTTTCAGGGTGAGTGTGGAGCCTGGATTAAAATGCAGGTGAGCATCTTAGAATGTCAGTCACTGTCAGGTTAGAGCGAGGCTACAGAAAGTTCTTCCCGGGGTGGGGAGCTCTTGTTTTCTTGGTACACACTATCAACGTCTGTAAAAATTAATTAAATTGTTGCTAATTCACTGCCCATATTTCCACAACCAAGTTTTTCTGGTCGGGACAGGTGAATGGGTGCCCAGTGCAGAGAGCACAGACCTAGGTTCTTAGTGCGACCTTGAACCAGTCGGTCCCTCCAGTGTGCTTTCCAAGTGCAGAAGGAGCCCCTGCAGCCTCCCGGCCAGTGCCAACCTGCAGGCTGCTTTATACACTGTCTCTCGTCCTCTTGGAACGTACCTTTCAGCAAGTTGTGATCCGCATTTTACAAATGCACCGCCTGGACTCGGCGGCCTTGAATGCCTTGTCTGAAGCCGTCCGTTTAGCGTGAGACCCGGCTGGGATTTGAGCCCGATGTGTCTAACTCCAGAGACCATGTGCTTCCCACCGCAGCTGGGCTCAGAGATCACCAAGAAAGGTCCACATGATTCCAGACCCTTCTCCTCTCCTTCGTTTTATCCTCCCTCCCTTGCACGCTTTTTTCTTTCCTCCCCTCTTCTCTCCCTTTCCTTTTTCTATCGAATTAATATGATCTTAACCCTTTATATGTACCAAACTTGCGATAAAAGATACATTTTAAAAATCCTTGTCTTCAAGGGTAAAAATGTTAGTCGGGCTATTAAATAAGCAATCCTAGGCAACGCATCATGAAATGTTCCTTATAGACAAGAGCATGGAAAAAGTACTTAAGAGCTGAGGTGAGAAGGTGGTTAAGAGTTTGCCTGACAGCATTTGCAGCGACCCAGTGGGGTCAAAAGCAGACTTGCTCAGCCAGACTGTGAGCTGCCCGGTTCCTAGAGTCCAGGATGAGCTGGTTCGGGGTGAGACCTTCCTCACAGGGAGAGGCTTGCAGACAATCAAAGAAGCCCCAGGAGGCCCTGGGAGCCCGTCACAGGGGCAGGGCTCGGGAAGGGGGAAGGCTGCTACTGTCTGATACTTGAGCCCGACTCCTGACAAAGCCCGCGCTCCAGAAAAGGGTGCGCTGCTTTTCTGTAAGTCCCAGCCCCCTCCCGAAGCAGCCTTCTTGTCTGGATTCCCCAGCAGAGATGCAGCCCGGTGGTTAAAGCCCAGCAAGCGGAAATGCCAGGCCTTTTCTTCCCCCTCTTAGCAAGGTACTCAGTCACCTTGAGCCCATTTCTTCAGCCCCTTGGGCTGCCTGGAGACTGGTAGGGTGACTTCAGGGATGTTGGAGTCAGCGCACAGCCATTCCCTCATCAGTCCCCTGATGAGCTGTGACATGGACTGGTAGGAAGAGGAGAGGAATCTGGGACTCGAGGACATGCAGCCACATACGGAATGACTCGGGCGATCAGACTGGGATCTTAAAACTCCCACCCCAGATCAGCCTTCAAACCCAAACCCTGCTGCATTGATCTCATCGAGACTTGGCTGCCAAGTATTAATTAATTAATTAATTAACCCATTCATTCAATACGTTTGTATTAAACGCTTTCCACTATTCTAGACAATGGAGATGCAGTGAGGGACAGAACAAACATGCTCACTACCCTTAGGAATCTTACTAATGAGAGACAGGTACAGTGAATGACCACAGTAGTATGTTATTAAGGCACTGTCTCAAGTACGGGGGGGTGGGGGTGGGAGGAGCTATGAGAGGGCACCTGGAGGGGAGGGGTCCAGACTTGAGAGGCAAGGGGGCAGGGGAGAGAAGGCTTCCCTTGGGAAATGATGTGTGAGCTGATATCTAAAGAATGAAAAGAGTGTTTCAGCCAGAAGGCCGTCTGAATGCCACGGGAGGGGGGTGATCTTGGGCAGGAGTGGGTGACCCTGGCCCCGCCCTGCCCCAGGCTCCACACTTTGATATGTCTGCCCAGTTGCTCCCCTAGGATCACGACAGTCCTAAGGCCTGACCCCTCCTGTGTGCCCCCTTCCCCAAGCTGCATGGGAACAGTTCAGAGGTTGTAACAACAGAGCCTTGGGGCTGCTCAATGTCCCAACTGGAAGAGACCTCAGAGGTCACCGCAGCTAAATCTGTCACTTATACAGATGAGGATATGCAGGCTCAGGGAGGTTAAGTAACCTGCCAGAGATCACACAGCTGGTAAGTTTTGAGCCAGCATTTAAGCCTGGTCTGTCTGACTTCAGCACTTATGGTCTGAGAGCACGCATGTTGACGTTGGACCTCAGCTGAAGCTTCAGTTCATCCACTTACTAGCTGTGTGTTCTTGGGCAAGTTATTTGATCCTTTCCACCCCATTCCCTAAGGCTTCAGGGTTTATCTAGAAAGAATTTTTGTAAGGATTTAAAATAATACACCCGCATGCATACACATACAGAGTGTTTGACATACAGGAGGTCTGAAAGTTGCCTTGGACCAGGGCTCCCTAGAAGACAGAGCCCAAGGCAAAAGCTTTCGTGCTAACTCAGGGAGTGCAAGTCCAAGGCAGGGGAAGAGGTGGAAAGGGGTGTATGGCAGGCGAGGAGGAGGAGCACGGATGAGGGGGAGTCTCACTGTGCTGGATGTTGCTTTGCACCAAGTGCAGCCGGCCGTTCAGCCTTCAGAGAGGCCTCGGAAATCACTGCCTCAGCAAACAGCTCGCAGCAGGAAGGAAGAAAATTGATCTGCTGAGTCCCCTCTCTCATTGGCTGAAATTCATTTCGTAGGTGTCCCCTGCCCCGTGCTTCTGGGGTGTGCATCAGAACCCTCTGGCCACCTTCTGAAAAGTCAGATCCCAAGGCTAGAGTGATGGCACTGTCATGCAAGCCGCACGGGGCGTGCTGGTCCAGTGAGTGGATGTGAGCTGGTGACCCATCTCCCTGCCTGCAGCCTGGCCTGAGGTGGGTGAGCCAGCGCACACCTGGTCACCAGGAAGTCCCACCTCTTCTTGCATCTCAGTAGCCTGAGGAAGCCTCGGGGCTGGAGGCTAGAGGAACAGAGAGCAAGGAGTGAGATGAAGCCACATGAAGGATCAGGAAGAGGCAGACCTAGCGGGCCAGGCCAGCCGAGGGGGTACACATTCAAAGGCTGTCTTTAAAGATGGCAGTTTTTCTTTTGTACAGAGGTAGACAATCTTTAAAATATATATTGGTTTTAAAAAGTGAAAAATGACTTGTAATTCTACCATCCAGTAATGCCTCTGGTGAACGTTTTGTTAACATGCCTTCTGGTTTCTCAATGAATATATGCTTTACACAAGTTCCTTTTGAAAAATGGGGTCATAGTATATATGCTGTCTTATAAGCTACTGAAACTATTTAATAGTTAAGTCATCAGGACTCAGGGACCAAATGGGCTTGGACCACGAGGGAGGGAGACAAGAGTAGGATGATGTCCAGGTCTCTGACGTGGACATCTGGGCGACCGGTGGTGCCAGTCATTGAGGTGGAAAATTCAGGAGAAAAACAGATCTGGGAGGAGAGAGGGGAGATGATTTCAGCTTTGGAAATGGTAACTTTGAAAAGCCTTTCGGACATGCAGGTAGAGAGGGTGACCAGAGGGTTGGGCAGAGCGGGCTCAGCAGGTGAAGTTATAGGTACTGGAGTGGACGGTGAACTGTGGACGGTCACTGAAGCCATGAGTAGAAAAAGAGTCCCTCAGGAGAAAACCACATGTTCCAGAGGGAGATGGGGCGGGAGAGCCTGTGAAGGATGCTAAGAGTAGGCAAAGAAGTTTCTCACCTCTGGAAAGGAAGGACAGAAGGACGTCCATTGGCAAAAGTGGTTTCAGTGGGTGTCTGGATTGAAATCAGATTGCAGTGGCTGAAGTGTTGTGGAAGACTCTTTAAAGAAGCTTGGCTCTTGTGGGAAAGCAAGATAAAGGGTGGTAGCTAGAAGGGTGTGTGCTGCTGAGAGGCTGGCTGTTGTTGGAAGTGAAATCACTCATGGAAGCGGCTGCTGGGAGTTGAGAACATCTCTTAGGATTAGGGAGAGGCAGGGACAGTCACATGGCAGGAGAAATGTTGTGGTGGGAGTGACAGTAACAGGAGACAGAACAGAGGGTGGGAAATGGCACGTGCATGAAGGGCTTTGGAGTCCTGGCCAAGACACCAGGACTTCTTCCCACAGTGGACAACTGGGAGCCACTGCAGCCAGGGGAGTGTCTGTCTGCCCTGGGTGCTGTCCTAGTCACCGCTGCACTTGTGCACCGATTTCACGTCTGAAGCTGCTTTCGCAGCTTTGGCGGCTCATCCTCCACAGCGCCTCTGTGGGCTTGATATCATCATCCTCATTTTATAGGAGAGCAACCCGAGGCTTAGAAGTATGGGTTGGTTTGCCCAGAGTCCCACAGCCAGTGAGTGGCAGAGGTGGGGTTAAACCTGGGCACCTGAGTCCCCATCCCTGACAGCACATGACCTCTTCCTGCTCAATTACAGCTTCGCCTCCCTCCAGCAGCAATTGGCAGAGGATTTGCTGGATGCCCGGAACTTGGTACCCAAGTCTGCCTCTGGCCCATAAAGGGATCGCGCTTCGTCTGTAAAGTGGGGCCCCTGGACAGACGGCCTCTCTGACCCCTTCTACTGTCACCCAGCGTGTGAGGCATCCTTGTCGGCTAAGCCCTTAGGACTGGTATCCGGGAAGGGGAGAAACTGCACTTCACATCCTTGGGGCCCAGCTTGGGAGAGAGTAAAGGAAGAGAAAGGAAGAGAGAGAGCCCCTCTCAAGCATCCAGGCTTGCAACCAAGTACCCTGTTGGCATTTACCGCCAGGTTGGCAGAACGGCTCATTTGGGTTCAAAGAGAAAAGAGCTTTGGAGGGCTTAGATTCAAGGCTCATAAGCTTTGGACATCAAATAGCTCTTACCAATGACATTTTGATGAATTAAGTATAAATGAAGCTGAAATGTCTCATTCCATTTCCCCTTCTGGGCCCCTGGGAGAAAGGATTATGGAGAGAATTTGCCAGAGACCTGGTGGGATGGGCTGTCTGTGGCCTTGATCCACTGGGAAAGGTGTCCAGAGACATTTTGCTGAACTAAAAAAAAAAAGAATTAGTCCTCTGGGATTCTTTTTCACCTTGAAGCCAGAGACTATTTTAACTGCAAATAAGTCACAGAATTCTCTTCAAAATCGAGATACCGATCCAGGGGCTAAAAGAGTGTTCAACCCTCGCCACGTGACAGCCAGGCTCAGGGAGGGCTGCATCTTCCCCTTGAAGCCTGGTCTCTGCATTTACTCAAATAGGCAGAGGTGGGCTCCAATGATGATTGAGCAATTCATTCATTCACTCGTTCTTTGCTTCACCAAAGTGCCCACTCTCTGGCAGGCACTGCTTGGATGTGAGGAGTTGCTGGTAAGGAGTTCAGGTTCTACTCAAAGAGACAGGTGAGCCAAGAGTTCCTGTACAGTGTGCTATGCACTATATTCATAGCATTGATTAAAATGAGGATAACAATAGTTGACATTTAGTAAGTGTTTCCTGTGGGCCAGGCACTGTTTTAAGCACTTGACTGTATTAACTCATTTAGTCCTCACAGTCACCAAATGTTGCAGGCGAGGAAACTGAGTCATAAAGCTGATAAGGAGCCAGTTCGAGGTCGCGTGGGTAGTGAGTGGCGGGGGTAGGTCTGCAGGAAGCACGGGTAAGGTATGCCCAGGGATGAGCAGGGAAGGGCTCACCCAGGAAAGGACCACCGAGCAGAGTATTGAGGATGGAGACGCATCAGCTCAGTAGAAAAAAATATTCTTGGTACAGCAAACACTGAGCTCACGCCAAGCAGCGTGAGTGGCCCCGTGTGGCTGGCGTCAGGCGTGGCAGGGAGGGGAGGAGAGAAATTCTGTAGGTCGGGGCCAGTTGTGACCGGATTTATATGTTTGGAGATTTAAACTCTGATGGAGAGCTATGGATGAGTGAAGTGGCCTGTTTGTTTTATTCCGAGAGAGGGGGAAGTGGCCTAATTGGCTCTGGTTCCAGAGGTTAGTCCAGCGGGCGAGAGGGGGATGGATTGGCGGTGGGAAGACAGACACAGGCATACTCATCCGATGGCGGGCAGTCCAGTGCCTCAGGTGGACGGGATGGGGCCTGAATTAAGGCATTAGGGATGAGGATGCTCAGGAGAAAATGGTGACACTGTGGGGTTTCAGTGTTTAATTCTAGGGCCTACTGAGTAGGGAAGGTCCCCCTTCAGGTAGACTTTTAAGCATGAGTTCAGGTAGTCCTGCGTCTCAGGAGAAGAGGAAGGGCTGTTTGGCTCTGGCAAAAGTGCTTCCTGGGGTGGCTTCTAGAAGGATGCACGTCAGGTAGCAGCCCCTGCATACGACCCCCGGAGACCCGGAAGGGGGGAAATCCATCTTGTCTGGTTCATTATTCACAGGCTCTTGTCCTTGAGAATAAAAGGACCAGAGCCCTGGGCTGCATCTTGGACCACAACTGCCTTCGCTCTCCCTCTCATCAGACCTTCCCTTTACAAGACTCTGTCTCCTTTTGAGGTCTCAAAGGTTCTTTTCTGTCACTCGAGTCCTTTCACTCACCTGATAAAAAGCCAATAAAAGCAGTTTTGTGCTGCAGCCACTCTGCCTTTCTTCGGAGATGACTGTGTTGGCTGCTGCCCATACAGCTGGGCTCCCGTGTCTGCCTCCGCGACTGCTTCCCTCTCTCCCTGTTCGGGGGCGAGGGGCGCCCTCCCCAGGAGACCATGGTCGGTCCTCCAAGCCTCTCCCACCATCAGCCTGAGCCCCAGCCAATGCCCTCCCTGGCTGTCACCAGCTTTCAGCAGTGGGCTCCACTGTGGACCTACAGATTTTCTTTTTCCTCTCGCATCCGTGTCTTTGTAGAGAATTAGAATGGAGGTGTCTGCTGCCGAAGGCACCTCTTCCTTGTTCAAAGCTGAGCCTCAGAAGCGGGCCGCGGTGGTAAGTCCTGACAAGGGCCATGCACTGTGGGGGAGCTCTGCACACACTCTTTCATTTAACCTGTGCGTGGCCCAGAGGCATGGATTATTGTTCCATTTTACAGATGAAAATGGAGGCTCAGAGAGTCAGCAATTAACCCAAGGTCAGACTCACAGCAAGTGACCAGAGCCCAGACTCAGACCCTATTCAGACCCCCATCTTGTGGTCTTCTCACTGCCCCATGAGGGAGGGGCACATGAGAACTGGTGGCTGGAGCAGAGAGTGATTTGGGTACAGTCCTCCTGTCCTCTGCGTCTACTTGCCAAAAGAATGGAGAGGAAGGGATAGGCTGGCCCAGGAGAATGGCAGAAGGGAGGGTGCTCTAGGTGGCCAGTTTGAGAGGGACACATGGATGACACTTACATCCTCAGCCCCGTGATCCCAGAGGTGGGGGCTGTAATACTTCCTTGTACAGGCTGGGAACGCACAGCCCCAGAGAGGCCAGCACCCGGAAGTGCTGCGATTTGAAACCAGGTCCCTTTCCTTTGGCAGCTCTCCAGCTCGACGGGCAGGCAGACAGCGGAAGTGATTTTAACACGAGGTTGTATGGGATAAGTGCTACAAATGTTACAAAGACAAACTACATCGTATTCCAATAGTGGAGTAGGAGTGGGGGTGGCTGGGTTAGGGTCTTAGTGGCAGTGAGACTGGCAGCCCTGGGGGACAAGCACAAAGTCTTGTTCATCCTGACATCCATGTGTACCTAATGCAGTGCCTGGGACCCAGGAAAGTGTTAACAGATAGTTCTTTTGAATGATACAGAGCAAGGCGCCTGGCGATAAGCGTTCCTTGGATAAACTTAGGGATGTTCTTCCTCAGCAGGCTTCTATCAACCCAGCTGTCAACCCAAGGCTTAGAAAACCAGGCCATCAATTGATTAATCAATCAGCAGATAGCAATTTAACACAGTGAGTCAGCCACTGTGCTAGAGGATTGGGGTAAAAGGACAGGTGAGATTTGCTTCTGTCTTTGAGGGCTTACAGACTAGGTGGCATGGAGGTGGGGGAGTGCAGACACGTAAAAGAAACGTTTGCTCCGGTGTGGGCATGAGACAGGTGAGTACGCTGCTAGGGGAGCCCGAAGCAGGGCAGGACCAAGGAATGACATTGTCCATCACCTGTGGGGATGCACAGCTTAAATCCTCATCTCCCAGGAAGCAGTGTCAAGCCTGTTCCCTCCCTGGGGCTCACAGAACGTGAAGCTCAGGGAAGGTCAGCCACAGATTCAGGAAGACAGCAGGCATCTAAGAACCTGGTCCTTAGAACCGCCCCCTGCCCCGTGATGGCTCTTTTCCACTGAAGAAGTGGATGCAGGTGGCAGTCGCAGGGGCTTTGGGGTTCAGTTAACGTACAGAGCCACCCCAGCAGCTCCAGACCGGGAACTCCTCCAAACCTCATGGGTGTCTAGATGCAGCCGGGACATTTGTCAGAAGGCTCGCTCCTTGGGAATTATTTCTGCCTTCCCCACCGAGTGCCAGCTGGTGAGGAGAGTGAGGGTCTGCAGAAGAAATGAAAATGGATTAATTAAGTCATCTGAAAGCTTTCTGAGAGATTGGCTTGCTGTGAAACAGAAGAGACAGGCAGTAGGGAATTGATTTGGGGCAGGGGTGGGGAAGGAAGCTCTGGAAAGTGTTATCTCAGTATCTCCTAAGAATACTCTGGTCCTGATTGCCCACCTCACATGCCAGAGGTGAGGTGCCACCTACAGGCCCAGCCATGCCCCAGGCTCTAGCCTGAGGTCAGGAGGTGCTTTCAAGAGCTCCAGTTCAGCTCCCGGACACTCACCCTCTGTCTTGTTCCCCAAAGCATGTCCTCATTTACCATCCAGTAATTCAGCTGCTGATTATTCTCCAAAGCCTGTGTCTCTGATGTTACTAACCCTGGTTCTTGCACTCCCCTCCTCTCTAGGACTAAGAACCTGGGGCCAGGGCCCCACTGATCCTCCTTACGTACTTCCTTTCCTCAGGCAACACTCCCTCCCCTACATGCATTGATTCAACATGGGTTGTGGCTTCAGGTTGAATGAGACCCAGTTCTTGCCTTCACTGAGCTCACATTCTGCACACATAGAGCCTCCAAGGATGGTTGTGCAGGTTGTGTATAGTACAAGGGGTGAGTAGGGCCTGAAACCCAGCCCTCTCGTGGCTCACCCAGCACGTGCTCTTGGTGTGGGGCTGTATCCACCTGCAAATTTTCTTCCTACAAAGACATCTTTAGTTTGCCAAGTCATGTGCCCTGTAAGTCTGCTAGAAGTCTCAATTTTTATAATTTGTTCAATGGCCCTGATTTTACTAGGAATGAGGCCCAGTGTATAAAAATAATGAGACCACAGCATGTGATATATACAAAATGGAATCACATACAAAATTTTATGGGAAGAAAGAAAGA